CACTGCAACATTGTAAATATATTCTTGCGATTAAATGGTACTAACTTGGAACTGCTTTACACAACCCCACCCCGCGCATAAAACAACGTTTATAGTTTGACTATATTAGCTAATCTCGCTCAAAGGTTGATAGACCTTGAGGCATTACAACTTAAATTTTTGCCCAAATCTGTTGTCTGAATCAGTATATAGTATATTCTGGCCCAAGACAGCTAATGGTTTTTGTGTAGGATTGTCGAAATTTGCACAGTCTGGTTGAGTCGTTCAAGACGCATCGCTTGACCAGTCATTTATCTATTGTCCAGTATCCAGAGAAAATTCACCAACAGGTTTGCAACTATTCCGATTGAATATGACCATCGTTATCAAAAGTGTTTCAGAAGCAAGACTACAGGATCTTCCTGACTATCAAACAATTCATAAAATTACAGCCAGCAGTGCGTCTTCCAGCAGAGATATCGATTCAAGACAATAAACAACTACAACACCATTTCTCAAAGAGATCGATATATTATAGACCACATTAGTCACATAAAAAATATGTGTAGCGAGTGCACACTGCCCTAAGCACATCTGCACATTCATACAAGGCAACAGTGTTTGTATATATCTGAAAACTATGTATTTATGTACTCGCGGTACGATACATACGGGTTCGGATTTATGCTCTCGGATTTTATGTTCTGATTTTCTCCACACCAATGATGACATTGTGTACAAATATTTAAGTAATAAATTGGCCTTCTGAAGGAAACCAATTTATTTTTTTCAAATACATTTTTTTGTTCGTACTTTCAAAATTCAAATGCACTCGCACTTTCGGCGTCGGGCCCCTCTTGGGCGTCGCACGCCGCACCAACTACCCAGAGATAAGACAGCGCCGCAAGGTCGCCCAGATTTTGGTGGCTCTCTGTCTCTACTTTCTCAAGAGAGTAGTCTCTGAAGTCGCCTGAGCGCAGAGCGGCTTAGGGCCTGACTCTGAGGCGCTGCGCGGCCTGAGCCCACAACACAAAATACAGAGGCTTTAAAAAATAAAATATGATAAAACGAAAATCATAGCCTCATAACTAGTCATGAGTCATGAGTCATGAACCTCCACCCAACTAGAGAGAGTAGTCAATAGAGAGATTCAAAATATACCACAACTGACTAAACTCTTAAAGTCCCTGAAAAAATCCTCAAGTCCTCAACTAATAAAGTACCGAACCGTACAGCCTCGTGGTGACGCTGTCATACCACAATATTTTGACACTGCCGACAATGTATTTTGCTTCTTTTCAAATTGCTCTTCAAATGTCAATAAATACTGGAAAAGTACCCCACCGTGCGGTATTCACACCTCTGCAACCATGCCGTAAGTGCTCTCTTGTGTCTCGTATATTGTCTTTGCTTATTATTATTCACATACGCAGTTGTTTTTGTTTGAGAATTCAGTCTCACGCATTATGTTTGGTTGGTTGTGGTCCAACAGCTCGTGATAGCTTCGTCGTCACCTTAGTTGGCGCAAACCAAAAGTGCATATCTGAAAGAGTGCTTGCAACCTCTCAGCAGCTATAGCATCCTCAGCAGCTATAGCATCCTCAGCAGCTATAGCATCTCAGTCTATCGGGTGTCTTCGTAATGTGTTTCTTCAATGCTAGTAGTCCATTTATGCATGATATCGAATTTTGAATGGCCACTCACTGTAAGCAGTATGTATATTGTTCTGCGTGCACTCGCATCCAAGTACATTAAGCAGTATGGACACTGTTCTGCGTGCACTCGCATAGACTTGTCGAGATAATTGAAATCAAATTACACAACGCGTTGCCTTTTTAACCACCACCGATTTGTAATACCCATATTGCACTCTGTATATAATCACTGCTGTCATTTTATTTCGCAGTAAAATTCTTTTGTTTGGTGCTGGCCTAGTTGCCGCTCCCTGTGTGGAGTACTGTCTTCGACGCAAGGAGAACACCATGGTGATTGGTAAGTTACAACGTCCGTGCTTCAATTTTCTTCGCGTAGTAATCACCGTATATTTTTTCCGTCAGTTTTCTATAAGGCATCGTTTTATGGAGACACGGCTGGTGTTACATGTACACTCGGTCGTTTTTAATCAAACTCGTGCAGCTTCGTTGCCAAGGTTAAATGCACGAGGGTTCCTGATTGTTCGGTGGTTTAAGCGAATACTGATTTTTTCTGAATGCGTGGAACATTTGATGTCGTTGTTTTGTGTGCGGTGCTTCATGTCGCTGGTAGTGTCCTCACTGGCGTAAGAATGGTAATGATGACAATCTAACCAAATCACGGAGACCGTAGATATCTCGTCTTGAGACACTCGGCATATGATGGTATAAATAGTCATAGTTACACTGAGCTATTCTTTGCTTATGTGATTATTCACACGATATAGATTCGTACACGATTGGAAATTGAATTCATAAAGACTGCGGTATTGTATGCATCGTTTTTCATATTCTTGATCGCATGTCGCGATTTCTAAAAGGCTGCGAATATGTTATGGAATTTTTGTGTGTATTTCTATTATAATTCACATCGTTTTTCGTATATTATAGCCACCCGCACTATCGCGAAAGGAGAAAGTCTGGCGAAGGAGTACGGTGATCGTGTATCATGTGCCACTGTAGACGTTGAGAGCGATGAATCCATCGATAATCTTATGAAAGACTGTGATATCGCCATCAGTTTGGTGCCTTACATTCATCACGCAAACATTATTAAGAGTGCCGTGAAGTTCAAGAAGAACTTCGTGTCCACTTCATATGTTTCTCCTGCCATGGAGGCGTTCCACGACGCGGCTGTCGAGGCTGGTGTTACAGTAAGTCAAAAAGGCATACCCTTTCTTGTCTCGTGCACACTGCTATGTTGCTTTGGTAGAACTTGCTGTAAGTATATATCCTGTTGACTCGTGTAAATGATGATGAACCCGAACCCAATGCAAGGATAGTCATAGTTCCACTGAAGCATCTGTATTGCTGTATTGCTATTGATAGAATGTGAGAATTCGTTCGTTCTCGTTTTGTTTCCCGGAAGTCAAGTAGTGGCCTCTCAATCATATGCTTTGTTCCATGGTACATCGTAGTAACGCACTTTTCGCATTAATTTACTTTTGTTTCTTCTTCGGTGCACAGGTTATGAACGAGATCGGTGTAGACCCTGGAGTCGATCACCTATACGCTATGAAGGTATGACTTGATTTTTTTATAGGTTTCATGTCGGTTTGAATCAAACATGTTATCAAATTAGATTTCTGACCAATTATTATGGTCTTGTGTCAAATATACGATCTTTTAGTTACAATCTGTCTCTGATCGTTGTTTTTATCAGGTTATTGATGAGGTACACGCTAAGGGAGGTAAGGTTAAGAGTTTCATCTCGTACTGTGGTGGTCTTCCCGCCCCTGAGAATTCCGACAACCCTCTGGGCTACAAATTTTCCTGGTCTCCTCGCGGTGTACTCTTGGCGGTTCGTAACGCTGCTCGTTTCAAGCAGGACGGCAAGATAGTGGACATTGCTGGCCCTGATCTGCTGCGTCTTGGAGCCAAGCGCATCTATACCAACCCCGGATACGCCACATACGGATACCCCAATCGGGATTCTTCTTTCTATGACACCCGATATGGTATGCCAGAGTGTGACACGTGCTTGCGCGGTTCACTGCGTTTTGAAGGCAATGTCGAGATTGTACAGGCGTTTGCTGACTGTGGTCTCTTGTCCTTGGACGAAGTTGACTTCCTAGCCAGCTCTGCACCAGCCGTATCTTGTGCTGAGGCAATGGTAAGTCATCATTGATTATATCAAAACAGGAGATATCAATTTTAAGCAGCGCCTGATCGTGCAGGGTCCTGGTGCATCTCTTTATCAATAATATGTAGTCTCAACTATAATCATAACGGTGAAAATTTGGATCACGTTTTTTCGGCGACTAGTTGGTATGCCAAATCATGATTTGTTTAGATCGAACTGTATTTTCGAGTCCATCCTGATCTTAAATCTCCACAAAACACAGGCCAAGTTATTGAACTGTGCCGATGCCGAAGAAGACACCTTGAAGGCAGCCGTCGCCGCAAAGGCTAACCTACCTAAGGATTTACAACGCCGTGTATTAAACGGATTCAAATGGTTCGGACTGTTCTCCAAGACTGAAATGGCTGACCGCAAGGGAACATATTTGGATATGCTGTGTGGCACAATGGAGGAGAAGCTACAGCTGAAGGATGATGAGAGAGATATGATTTTTTTGCAGCACGAATTCGGAATCGAGTGGGCTGATGGTAAGAAAGAAGAGAGGACGAGTACCCTGATCGAGTACGGAACCCCTGGAGGATTCACAGCTATGGCACGTTTGGTGGGTATGCCATGTGGTGTGGCCGTGCAGATGATTCTGGACGGAAAGATCACCAAGAAGGGTGTCTTCGCGCCTTTGACCAAGGATATCTACGGACCTCTCATCGAAGTGCTTGAGAAGGAGGAGGGTGTTGTCGTCAAGGACACCATCTTGTAAATTTGACTAATTGCCGTATGGTTTGTGGTTTTAAAAATATTAAAGTTAGCGGTGAAAAATGACGGCCAGGCAACTTGTGAAGCCTTCGGGTCTCTTTTCCCCGTTTGTGATATCAACGTCCCTTGTTCCCGGTTGTGATATCCACGTCTCTTCCCATTCTTTCAATGTTTGCGTGTTCTGGGTCGTCGTATCTTCAGAATCATTTACGACAAATAAGTTAGCTTACAAGTAGTATGTATGATTCCACCGACAAGTCAACATATGACCTTGTTATATAGTACATTCTCGTCTAGTGTTATATAGTGCAAAGCCTTAAACGTTGCCATCGGCGTCCAAGCCTACCGATTCTACCTGTCGTGACTTGCCTCTGAATACCTTTCGAAAGTCTTGCGTTAACTGCACACACAAATGCCTACTAAACTTTAACGACGCGATTTCCGGGCAGCAACACTTATGCGTTATAAACTTATTTCTATACGTACTGAAGGGAACACACTAGAAACAACCCAATCGTTTGTTGTTGAGACGATTGGGCGCCTGAAGAGGTAGAATTCTCGAATTGATTTATATAGATCTGGTGTATGATAACTAAACTGGAGACTATTGGATAGTAATTAATCGAGCGCTGTCACTTGTGAGTGAGTGAATAGTAGTTGGCCCCCAGGGTAGCTTTAGCACCGGCCAACTATCGGTACTCGCAAGCACGATGTAAGCTCAGATACAATCTCGGGCTTATAGCTAATTATAGTGTCGCGATTCTGCTGAAACACAGCAGGTCAATAACATCAATCGGTACTCCTACGATAAGGGATTGTACTCGGCCACAAAGCGGTATTGCACTGCGGGTCCCAGCTTCATCTTCCTGAATAGGAATAAATACATGCCGAACCAGAATACTATGAAGGCCGCGGCGATGCCAAACACAGGCCAATTCCCAAGACTCTTGATCAAGGGCAAGGCCAGGGAAGTCCAGATACCGCCACCCATGAACGGCTCGTGTAGAAGTTGTTTGCATGAGAAAGCTTTCATAGCTGGTGTTTCGCTTCGGGGGTCAACAATTCTTAGAAGCATAATTCCAGTAGCCGTAGTTCTGCACGAAACAAAAGCAGTAGAGATACAATGAGCACTATACGTATCATTGACAAGAAGTCTCAGCCTCTACCACAATAGTAGGCTCATTTAAAAGAAAACACATGCGTATAGTAATAGTACTTACCCAAAACTCTTGCCGAGCTCTGCAATAGCTCGTTCAAACCAGAAATCAGGCAGCATGAGTGGCCCCAAGAAGAAGAATGCTAGCAACTGCCAAGCTATGCCCACAACAATAAGGATGGATAGGGGTAACAGATTGTCAGCAACTGCTTCTACTTTAGTGGTGGCGATAGCTGACAGAACCAAGAAGTCCAACGAAATTCCGCCAATTCTCTCCATCATGCCTCGATCCAAAGGAGAGATAACAGTGTACTTGTCTACTACCACTTGTACAACTAGACCCCACAACATGGCAATAGGGAACAGAGGGAAACCCGAAAGGAACGAATATTCAGAATCAATGAATCCGTCGATCACCATCAGGCCACGCTTAGTGAAATAAGCGGCCAAAAGTGCAAGACCAATGAACGCCATGTGCAACGCCATGGTATCGATCGCATCGTTGCTGATTGTGAGATACGAACCAGGCACTCGATTTTCCACAGCAATCACAGCAGACGATTTCCAGTCTCTACCAAGCATTGGCAGAGCACCATCATCATAATCTTCAGTATCATCTTCGATGTTGAATTCTGTCGTTGAAGTTGTTTGTGCTTCCTCGCCCAAAGGCTTTAGACTCTTAGCATTGTCAGCTTGTTTAGAACCAAGAGATCCCGTGAAGGATGCATTACTCTCGCTTTCGACTACTGGCAAGTCCCCACTGGAAGAGTTTTGTTCTTCATCACGACTAGTGTTGCGATAACTGGTGAAAGTCCACGTATAGCGGTCACCGATATTGCATATGATAGTCCCAAATATGACACCAGAAAGAATACCTATTGTGGCACTCGTGATAGCAAGATCACCACCTTCTGGAAAATCTAGCTCGGTGTATGTGTCGGTGAGCCCAGCGGCAGTCCCATGACCACCCTCAAAACCAACGGGAAACAACGATCCAAACAACTCATTCGTGTCATACACTGGCATAAGTAAGATCGGCGTTAGACCACAGGCAACGATCCAATTTCCCCTATGGTAGATTTTCAGGAGAAATAAATTTAGTCGGGGGTGTGGCCTATACGTATGCACTCTACAAACTTAAATTCCGATATTCTAATACTAGCAACATACGGTAAATCTAAGGTGCAAACATGTAATGCCTATTAAAAAAACCGACTTCTTCACAAAAACCAAAATTATGTTTTGCAAGTTGATGTCATCAACCCTGATACATATCCCGTTGGCGACACAGCCACTTACACATGTACACGCACATCCAGAGGTGGCAACGAAGATAACGCACATACCAAGCCAGGATTTGACCATAGGCCAGCTGTGGGCCGGCCCATCTCCAGGCTTCCTTCAAACTTGGAATTTTGGACCCCATGAACAGTGTGGTGAAGATGATATTGATTAGGAAACCTGTTTTTTAAATAATAAGAATAAAACAAAGTAGAAGGTGAGACGACCATAGGTGAATGAACGGAAATGCTTCCCTCCTGCTTGCTGATGATAGGTAGGAGAGCTGAGACGAAACTCTTAAAAATCGACGTACAAATCACTTCGTTCTTAGATCATCTTAAAATCAATGACATCTCACCTGGTACTTGGGACCAGCCCACTATCCAGTCGTATTCGACAGCAGCACTCACTGTATCGTCGAGCGTACATAGCTGAACAAAAAGTAGAGCTAGCAGACCTCCTATCAGAGCCGCGGGCATCATGGCCCATCGCATTACAGCGAGTTTCTCTCGGATGATATGACCCAGATAAAGGAAGAAGCACATGCACGCCACCGACGACACGATGCGCATACTCGTAGAATCCAAAGCGCCCTGGGGCACTGCGTCTGCATCAGCCATATTGAATATCTTTTTAAAACTTGACTCTGCCTTTGAAAATAAGTCTCCGACGTTGATGTCTTCAACTTGGATGTAGCTGTTCAGAAGCAAAGTGACCTCTTATATATTTATATATCAAAATATCCCTGTGTATTATATATAATATTGGGATGAATTGAAAACAAGCGAATTTTTTATATATATTTTTAAATCAATCGCGGTTTGTACTACCCTAGCAGGCCTAACTAGCCCTCCTTTAGGTCTAAATAGTAAAAATACTAAATAAATAAATACTAAAAGTACTACTACCGGACTCCATTTATGTATTTTAACTGTTGTGTCTGTATTTATTACTTTCAAACTGTTGTCCGTTTCACTGTTTTCAGACTTTCAGAGTTTTCAGTTTTGTTTTCACACGCAGTCGCATAACCTCCCCTAAATTAGAACATTTCACGGAACAGAAACTATTTTATTTTTTATGAACCCGAAAAAGAAAAAAAAGAGACTTCAGACTTCAGAGCTCAGTCTGTCATCAGACTCAACTCTACGCGAGTCTACAAACTATTTAAAAATTTACTACAGCTGTGGCCTGTGAGGAGTTGAGTGGACCTGGAGTTTGTCTGTCACTGAGAGTCTTAGTCGGAACTCAGAACTTGTACCACTCTCTCTTTAGTCTCTTCAACTCGCGTGTGTCAGTGAGTGTGTGTACAAAAAAAGTAAGCAGGCTCTCACTCTACTACTATCTCTTCTACTAGAGAGAGTAGAGAGAGAGAGAGCTCTCTCTCTGTAGTACTAGTACTCTAGTAATAGAGCAGCCTCAGAGAGAGCCACAACTTGCAACTCACGAGTCACAATCACAAGTTACGACCCACGACTTACTCTAGCCAGGTGACTCTACTACTAGTATGTAAATAGCTACTGCTCTACTACTAGAGAAAGTGTTAGCAGGTAGCTGATAGTATGGTAATAAAGCATACATTCTTACAACCAATGGAAACGCTTATATAATAGCTAGTAGTGTCTGCCAATTCGCCATCGAGAGTTGTGAGTAAAACTGTGAAGTTATAAATGGTTGTACGTCAATGTATGTCTGCAATTCTTTTTAAAAAAAACTAGTTAAAATTTTAAATATGGCCATGGCACCGGGCATCGCAGTTGGGATTTGGGGAACTTGGGTACTTGCAGTTGGCAGATGTCACGGCTAAATATGGAAAAGGGGTTTGTTCTTATGGCCAAAGTTTGACATTGCTTTTATACATTTAAGACGTTTTAATTCGCTTTTACAAAGATAATAAATAATATTTGACTAATCCGATGAATATAATATATTTCATGTATTATTTTAGTTGGAGGAGAATGCATTCTTGATTATTTTAGGTAGTTTTAACTTCTAAATTTAAAATTTTGTTTGTTTTATTATTTTTATATATAAAACAAAAGAACACAATTTACAATTTATTTATTTTTAAATAGTACCCACAGGCCACAGCCCACAGCCACACGGCACAGGCCACATCGACAGGACCACAGTCCACAGGTGACTGGCCCCAGGGTCAGCAGGTTTGAACAACCTATTCCATATTAGGTGCCTATCTATTCCCATATTAGGGCCCGAACCGGCAAACAGATATTTATATGTACATAATATGTTTCTTTGTCTTGTTTTAAAAAAAAAAATATATAACAGATACTTGTTGGTGGCAGTGGTGGGGCTGGGCTCGAAAGTAAATACAATTATGCAAAACGAAATATTATTTCAGACAAAAACAATATTTATTTATTTAATAAAAATATGCAACCGAGTGTAATTAGATTTTCAGAAGGTCATGGCGTCCGGCCAGGCGGCCACACGCCCGCCACAGTGCCACACTCCACACTGTCCACAGACCACAGTCCACAGTCTCTCATACACAGAGTCCTCAGACCTCAGGACCTCTACTCTCTACTGTAGACATAGGTCGTCAAGTCGTCAACTCCTTATCAGCAGCATTGGCCCTCACGTCTCAGACGTCTCAGTGCTCCTCAGACCTCAGTAGTCCTCACAACGAGAGAGTTATCACAGCCTCACCGGTGTATACTGCATTCTGCATACTGCACCACGTGTGTGAGGGACTGTGCCCCTGTGGGTAGTTACTGGGGCGGCGCTATTGTGGGCACTGGTGACTGGGACTAGGCACTCTCTCTGCTGGGTGGAGTCTGGGGCCTAGGCCCTGCCCTGCTGGGGACAGCAAGGCCAGTACACCAGAGAGTTGGCTGTGGTCTGTGGGGAGCTGTGAACCTGTGGCCTATGGCCCGTAGTGTGTGGACTCACTGTGGGGCTGTGTCGCTGTGACGCCTGTGAATGTGGGCTATAAACTAAAAGCGCTTCGCTCACGCTGTTTATCCATTGTCAGCTGAGCCTGAGCGGAGTGCAGAGTGCGGAGTGCGGACACTGGTTTTTATCGAACAAATTCCGTAGCAAAATTGCTCCAGGAGAGCAGTTAAGGTCTGAGTTGGCACACTCTCGCTAACTCTCACTGTCACACACATGCGAGTGATTGGTGTTCAATCATCATCCAAGGAAAAGACCAAGGTTAAGCACGCAACCTCCAGTGAGCACCTAGCACTACCCAGTGCCTACTACTAATAGAGACCCCAGGGCCCAGGCCCTCTCTACTAGAGTAGTAGGGCCTCTCTCAGAGGACACTAAATTACTATGTATTTAGGTATTTACCCTCTCGCCTCTCTCTTTTCTGTATCTTTTTTTTATAGCAGTATGTAAATAAATACTATTCCTGGGTCCTGGGTCCTGGAAGGCTGACCCAGACACACCCAGCAATCAACTCACCACCAGAGTGGTCTCAGTCTCCAGTTCTCCACTCTCCAGTCTCCAGAACTCTCCCCAGTGACCCGGTCTTCAAAGTCCAAACTCTCCACTCTCCACTCTCCACTCACCAGTCTCCACTCTCTCTCTACTTATAGTCATTACTCCTTAAGAGTATAAAATGTCTCTTTGTCTGATCATTCAGAATACACGCAATAATTTTATTCGCACTTAGAAGTGTTAGATTTCAGGGATCAGACAAGATCACAATTAAAAGACGAGAGAGAGCGAAAATTAGAAAACTTGTGCGAGAGTAGAGACTACTCTCTCTCTAGAGAGACTCTATAGAGAGTAATAGAGGCTACTGAGTACTGAGTAGAGATATTTACCACTGTGCTAGTAGTCTACTACTGCTCTAGAATACTCTCTCTCTCTATAAACAGTAGTAGTACTAAGACTGGACTCTGGAGTCTAGACTCTGGAGTGAGAGAGCTATGTAGATTGTGTGTAAATAGAAGCCTATGTACTAGAAAAAACTTGTTTAGATCCATTTTTTAATAGAAACAGTGTGATATACTTTTCACTTTTCACTTTTCATCCCCAAATCTGAAATCATAAACGACAGGATTATTTTCCAATTTTCGACAAGATCCATGGTATTTGGTTTTTGGGGAGGTTTTTCATAAAAAAACTGTCCTAGAGAGGACCAGTCAGCTGTGCCTGTCAGACTCGTCAGAGTCTGTTCCCTGAATTCACATCAGAACTGCAGTCACTGCCCACAGGTCAACGAAGTCGAACGTTCCAACATTTTTTTTAGTTTACGACAATAATATATATACATAATTCGTGTATGAAATAATAATCAATTTCCAATTTTTGGGGCCTTCCCCTCCATCAAAAAAAAATTTGGGAAGGATTCTGATTGTTCCCATTTTTCTAAACAAAGGCAAAAAAAAAAATGTGCATCCATATTTTGTTGTACAGTCTCTGGACTATTTTATTTTTACTATTATTTATTTAGTATTTAGTTGAGTACTACTGACGAGTCTGAAGTCTGAACTCTGACGTACTATTTATTTGAATTTATTTAGAACAATAACAAAATTAGTTGTATTTCTCTTTTCACTTTAAAAAAAAAGGATCAGCGAAAGGAACCAATAGCCTCCGCCAGTGAGAGAATCTGACTCCAGAGTCGACGAAAAAAATATATATAAATGATATATATATATATATATATATATATATATATATATATATATAGTGGTGGGGGTGCGACGGCGCGTGTCGCGACGACGACGACGACCAC